GTAACTGCCTCCAAAACATCACCCTTCAACTGCATCACAAATTAGACATATTCCAAAGATCTTAAAGGCTGAGTCTACTCGATCTCCCCTAATAACCAATATTATGTAGCCATACCTAATAAACCTGGTTCCTGCAAAAGTAACAACAACTTGGATTAGCTGGTGCTCTCGAATAATCTTTAATGCAGTCCTATGTACAGTAAATTATAGTAGCACAGGATCAGGTGATAGATATATTACCTATAGACTATAGGTATATAAAGGTTCTCCTGGCCTGCACTACAATAGTCCTGGATTCATTGGATTCTAAATAGGGGTTCCCAACCCATGGACCATAGCCCACTAATGGGCCATGGGGCGTGGCCTATTTGGATCCAGGCTGTGTGAGCAGCAAGCCAGTGTGCAAGCACGTGCAGCTCGACTTGAGCGAGTGGCGGGCCAGTGCACATGCAACTCAACTTGCAAGTTGAGTTGCACTCACATGCATGTGTACTCCCCCTCCCTCGCTCGCACAACTCAAGTTGCAAATGTACATGCATACACCAGCCCGAGGCTCATGCCCACTTCCCCTCCCCTCCCTCCCGTCAGGCTGCCAAGCTGCAAAGGTTGAGAACTGCTGCTCTAAATCACCACTTATTCTTTCTTGCTTGATTTAAGAATTCAAAAATGAAAGGACAATCTGTGCAAATTATGGAGAAAAATGGAATATAGATCAGGTTTGCCTAAACCTTGTTGGAAACTTAAGAGTGTTTTTTGGGTATGTTAGTTGAAGCTTCTCAAAAGCTTCAAGGTCAATTGCATGTGTAGCACATTGTATTAGGTCTAAACCAGTGGTTCTCAACCTGAGGGTCGGGACCCCTTTGGGGTCAAATGACCCTTTCACAAGGGTCGCCTAAGGCCATTGGAAAAAACATACGGAAAACATAAAATAATTTTATAGTTGTGGGTCACCACAATATGAGGAACTGTATTAAAGGGTCACGGCATTAAGAAGCTTGAAAACCACTGGTCTAAACACAAAGCTTCTACAACATGAATCAATATACAGTTCTTTCCACAGAAAGATCCCAAGAAGAAGAAATTCTGTGATATAGGAAAAATGGCTCTTGCAGAAGCACTCTGTCAAATACTTATCATCCTAAATCATTACAGGATATAAAGCTAGACACTAAATAGTGCCCAGAGGCAAGTGAGCAGATAGAACAGTTTGTTCAGAATTGTTGTAATAATTGATAGTATGCTTCTTCTTGGCTGTTTAAATTACAATTATCATTATAGCATTCTGAGTTAGTGAAAGATTACAAGTTATTTTCAAGGGAAGCCCCATAAACAGTAATCAAAAGAAGAAATTATCAGGACAGAAAATACTGTGACCAAGCTATCTCCAGTTCTATGCTCACAAACACACACTCCTATCCATTTAGACCACAAGACTCAATAGCACTATTGAGTAAATTAGCTCCTCCAATCATTCTTAAAAACATGTCTATTGGTATTTTTGCAACTGTTGTAAAATTTAATGTCAGTGGCAGAAATTAAATTGCAATTTGATTTCTAAAGTTTGTTTTGTTTTGCATTTTCTATTAAATGACAGTCACAAAGGAATAGACATCTAATAAAGCAAGCCAAATAGATATCATGAATATTCAATAAGTTACTAGATTAAGTTTCTGCTCTGTTTAAGATTGCAACAGTACCCTTCATGCCATTTCCAAGACCATCTTTCCTAGTAAAGATACTCATTGTATCTTTTTTAACTCCAATATACAATGTAGGTTAACTGAATTTGGTTCATTAAGTTCTGATCTCTTCAACTAGGTTTGTGGTAGGTTTGAAAAAACTAGTTTGGTGGCTACATGCCACAGCCTAAATTAAAATTTAGCAAGCCATATTATGACTTAACATTTTAAGCTATCATGAAAACCTTACAAATCTTTTTTATGGCCAAATCTCACATAATTCAATTTATTTGGATATGGATTAAACCATGAACTCAGTAATTAGAACAAATGTACCATGGTATCTCACTTGAAGCAGACTTATAACATAAGAAATTATAGGCAAAAGCAATATGTAACAATATGTAATTTTCTTCTGAAAAACAGGTGGCTTGGTCATATGCATCATGGCAGCCATTCTGAAAGAATCTATTGCCTCCTTTCAAATGTGTGCCTAAGCACAACAAGTTACTTATACCTTTAAAAAGCATCAAACCATCAACCTTGCAGTTTATATTTCTTATTCTCTTAAAGTTAAAATTTAATTTGGATTTGGTTACCAATATATCCATTATGCTTTTAGACATTCAAAAACTGTATCTACCTTTTAAATAAATGCTGCAAATTTAATCTAGATTATCAAATATTGTCTCTTAAACAGTTTCTGACCACATTTACTAGGTCCATTCTGCCCTTTGCTTTGGTGTAGCTATGTATCTAGCTTGCCTTCAATATTCGCTTGACATAGCAAGATTAAATGCATTCTTTCTTCTAAGTCTTCTAAGTCTAACTCCAAAATAAAATGACTCAAGTCTATATTCATCTCTTAATTTCAATTTTCACAAGACAGTTTTTAATTGGATGTGTTTCAAATACAAATTAACTACATTATCAAACCAATATGCTTAACTAGGTTTGCATTCAAAATAAGCTATTATTAAGTGTTTCTCTAAAAGTATTCTTAAATTCTTAAAAATATAAATATTATTAGCCAAATATATGAATTTACTTCAAAAACAGATTATTTCAAAATAAAGTTATGTCTATCTTATTAGGCAAAAGCTGTAAGTTTCAAGCCCTTCATTTTTATGAATGTGACTGAGCAGTATTTTATTAATTTTTAACTACACCTCCCCTAAATCCACCCTTTAAGATATTTTACATGTTTTTCTCAGTGGTAATTTCATTATGAAGTATGTATTTTCTTACAAAACAAAATCCAGAATGAATGAAGGGTAAACAAATTCCTTCATTTTCCTAGTAGTTGGCATTAAAACAAAGAAATACAAACATGCTCTTTGGAAGGGGAGGGGTGGAACCCTTAAGTACAAGATACTCTAAATCTATTTATCTAAGGTCTGAACTTCATCTAATACTAATCTCAGAAGAAATATTTTTGTCTGCAAATTTACTTCAAAACCACCAAGGAACGTTCACAAAGGTTATGTTTGGATCTTAGGGTTTCTTTAGCGGACAATACCCAGAGTCAAAAACCAAAACCCAGACACTAATTTGCAATTATTATTATTTTTAAAAAAATCTTGCGGTGACTTCTGGTGAGGATTCGTAATGAACTATAAATCCCTGAAGGAGCTGGGACAGAATTGCAACATGTATCAGTGGCTAGACAGCAAAAATCTATCCAGAAAAAGCAGAGATCATGAAATCAACCACTTGTTCCCTAGACAGCTGTTTCTCATGAACAGACTGCAGAAACTGAGGTTTTTGTGGTGAACTTGTGAGTTGAGGGTCTGGGAGCAGAGGATTTCAAGCAGCTCACAGCCATAATGCAGCCTTTATGGATCTAAGGTTTGCCAAGCCACATTTCTTAATCACTTTTGGAAATTGCTTTAACTGCTTTCAAGTATTAGGAATCTTTGCAGTAACAAGTTTTAGGGCACTGGGTGAATTTCCTTCAATTTTTAGCAAATGTTTTAAATGCAGGGATCTCATTTTTCGCCCTTTTGAATAAACAGCAAATGGATGATTAGTATGTTGATTCTGGAAAGTTACAAAAGGATTAAGATCCAGATAGGATTCAAAATAAGATTTTGAAAATAATTATAAAAATTCTTCCAGTGAGAAAATGATGTTGTTTTGAATTATTTAAAAAGAAGAGAGGAAAGGATTTTGAAAGTTGATTACCAGGAAGAACTAGAAGAAACTAAAGATTACAATTAAAGAAGAAAAACACTTAAATTTCACTAATGCAATAGAATGGAGCAAAATATTTTAAGTGGGTACATGTAAAGATATTTGTGAAGAATGGACCCAGATTTAATTTTAAAAGTGTCTGTCATTATAGATAGACTAAGATGTTACGGCTGAAGAACAAGTTTTACCAGTCAAGACACTGCTGATTTGAAAATGAATTTAAAAATAAGAGGCTAGAAGAATGATATGGAAAAAGATGCTACACCGGATATACAAATAAAACCGGTTGATGCCTTAATTAATTAAGAGGTATACATTTTCCTTAGAAAATACCGTATGCACTACTATTCAGAGTTTTTAATCAGCCAGACTAGTAAAATAATATATTGAAGCTGTTTACATGAAATTTCAGAGAGAAAAGCCAAGACTATAGTGGCTAAGTCACAATATGCTGCATATTTTTAGTTTTTAGATCCACAATTGTAAGTTAAAGTTGAAATATCATGTCTTTCCTTATAAAGGGATATATTATGATGACAAAGCACTACTACAGTCAGAACAGCAGGATGCTACACCTGCTAATCATGTAAATACTTTTTATTTTTCTTCTAGCCAGAATTGTCATTCTACTATACTTTTTAAAAAGCTACAATTCTTGTCAAACATTGGTTTAATGTTTGGTTCTCTGTAACAAAACCCACCATTATAAACATGATCATTATATATTTTTATTACATCTTCCTGCATGGCAAGTAATTTTTTCTCTTCACTACAGTATTACCCAACAAATGTCTCAGTTTAATAACTCTTATGATTTAGTTGCCAACAACTTCAGAATAAAAAAAATCTAGAATTTTTAAATTGTATGGGTAATGAATGACAATAAAACAACCTTTCAAACTCTGTCACTCGTATTAAATATTTTGCTTCATCATTCCTAGAAATCCCATTAAAAGAAGAACTAATCTCTCTAGAACACTTATTTTTCTAAATTAATTGTTGAAGAACACAATCTCCTTGGTGGTTTATTATTTCCTGCCAATAATTGTTTGGGGAAAAAATGTAAACTAAAATATTGATTTTAATATTTTTTAAAAATTTTTTTAAAGGTTTCATTTAAATAAATACCTGAGGAAGTGCAGTATTAAGCTGTCGTTGTAGAGAATCCCTCTCATGACCAACTTCATGTAGTTTACCCTGGGTCAATGCAAGTGTCTCTTGAGTTTCTCGCAATGTGTCCAAGAGGCGGTCACGCTCTTCCAACATGGATACCATTAATTGCTCAAAATGGGAATCAGCATCCGACTGAAGGGGAGAACCTGAACCACGGTTTCCACTTCCCCCTGAGGGAATCTCTGCCTCACTGATGGTTGGCATCACTTCACACATCATCTTGAAATTAATGTTAAGATTAATTATGAAACCATAAAAATACCAATTCAAATTAATTAGCAAAACTAAGATGCTACAATGTTATCTAGCTACAAGCATCCAATTATATTTATCTGAATCTGTCACAATTTTAGTACAAATTTATAGTATCAGACATCTGTGCGCAACATATAACTTGATAAAACTTCCCTATAATTTATCATGCTAAAATTCACTTGACATGAATAATTGTTTAAAATTCTAACTTACCTTAGTAAGTGCTAAAGAAAAGTATAAGAGGATAGAGCTTTATCTGATTCCAGCATGTTTATGGGTAAGTACAGACATTCTAATCTGCATTAATAATTGCTAGTACAGAAAATGCATCAGTAGCATTATTGCAGATAGATGTGAAAAAAATGCATTCAGCAAAAGACATAACAGGAATAAAGCAAACTTGTTTGTCCATGTGACTATTAATCAACCATCATAGTCTTATAATTGCTTTAATTAATTTTTAAGCTTTTACTACCTACTTCCATTTCTCTGAGCTTTTTGGTGGGGGGGGGAGATTGTCACAATTTCTTTTAAAGAAATATATCAATACGGAAACAGTATAGGTTCCCTTTTGCAACTGAATGCTATAAATTAATAAGAAGAAACTTTTTAAGAAATACTGTATTTAAAAAGTTCAAAAGAAAAAATAAGTGTTATCACAAATAAATCATTAAACCCTGAACTAAGAGTTTTGAACCTGAATCCTTGCATCCCAAGCGAATGTTGGATGCTATTAATAAGTTATAAGCTTTTCTGTGATTCTATAATTTTCAAAGCTTGAATTAAGATATATGGAAATTTAAACTCTTTGGTACATCATTAGAAAAAGCCTTAATGAATTTCCTGAAGTGAATTATTAAAAAAGGGAAACAGCTCCTATTTATTAAAGGCCACCAAATTTGTTTCAAAGTTTTTTACCCTTTACAGTTTGTAATTATTGAGCTAAATGTAAACAATTTTCTCCATTCCAATTTGAGTTCTCATATTTTAAAAGCTATATAATAAAATGAGAATGAGTTTAATCATTTAAAACCAAACAATGTAACCAGCACTGACCTAACATGTTATTTCATTCTAGTTATCCCTCACATCTCATAAAGTGTTTACTAAGCAAGCTTTAATTGATCCACTTACCTTGTTTGATAAAAGAGATTTGTCAAAAGAGATCAATTTTTCCCAACGATATCAGCTTTTTTCAGCAAGTTTGCATAACGATTTCCAAAAGCATATGAAATGGTAGAACAGCCATCCACCCTCACTACAATGTTCATTCATTAAATAATCCCCACCTTGGGTAGTCACACAAGGCAGTAAGTAATCTTCCTAACAAAAGATAAGCCAACAGGAGGATCAATTCATCTAGTTTTCCGCAGTAAGCAAAAGGTTAAAACAAGGTATGTTATACTAAGCTCCCTTATTCGAAGACTGGTCCACAAGTCTTTCCGCGCCCCGCAAAGGCGAGGTGTTATGTGCGGGGAATAAAAGACCGAATGTTTTCTCAACGTCTTTGGGCCGGCAAATTGTGCATGATGTAGAAATCTTACTTTAGGTCACAAAGGCATTTACTTCAACCCCCCAAAAAAAGAAGCTGTTACAGGTCTCACGGAGGCACTAGAAGACCCTCCACTCTTCCGCCTCTTAAGTTTCCGTGTCTTCTCCCGTGCATTTATAATTCCTCTTTTTGGGGGGTGGGGATGGGACGTTGCTGCGAAAAAGCTTCAAAAGCAGAACCAAGATCTAAAGACCGTCCTTGGGATGCGGGTGCCAACCATGATCCTTCCGTTCTTCCACGGGGAGGCAGGAGCTCTCCGCACCGCCACCTTTCACGGGGCAGGAAGAGTTAAACGAGCACAGAAAGCGGAGAAAAAAGTTGCGGGGACCGGGGTGAAGAGCCCGAGGGAACCTCTTCGGAGTTTCGTCCACGTCCCCCCACACACACACCCCTCACCGGGAAGACTTTCCTGGGTACCGAAGGCTGCTTTTCGGAGGCCTCAGGGGACCCGCCGCGCCAGAGAGGAGTTTTGCGCTCCGCTTCTCGCTCTCAACTTCGGCCTTCTCTGCCCAGGTAGCTCCGCCTCCTGCCTCCACATCCCCATCCGAGGTAGCTAAATTCGGAGATACTCCCAAAGGCTCTTCCGAGTCCCCAACGGTGAGCGGCGGCAGCGGAGGCGGCGAACTGGGCCCGGGAGAGCACTGCAAGGAAGGCTTGAGAAGCTCCAGGAGGCGATGGGACTGCCTTGTTTCCAGCCGGGCCCTCGGCCGCCGCTCGGAGTTTGGCCGCCGCCTCCCGTGCTTCCCGACAGCCTCTGCGGCTTCAAGATACAACGGCGTGGACCACAATGCAGCGCGGCGGGGCCTTCGTCTCGCCCTGGAAGGCGAAGGGGAGGTTACTCTCCCTCCTCCCTCAGCGAAGCCAGACTAGATTTGGGGGGACGGCGGTTGGTTTTAGGGCACTGGCGGCAAGCTCGTGTCTCCTTCTAAGAGCTGCAAGACGAAGCTGGCCGCGGTCTCTCGCTCGCTCGCTCGCTCGCTCTGAGGGACAAGAGAAAACAATAGCCCCCCTGTGGGCATAGCTGGGAAGTAGGTCCGTCAAACACGGAGGTCCCTCTCCTAAATAAACAACACGTGTGCAGTACTAATTGAAAGGCCACGTTTCCCCTTCCTTCCCCCCTCCCTCTTCAACGGTCCCAAAGGAATCCTTATCGTGAGCTGCCCTTGGAGGTTTGACTCTTGGCCTCTTGCCAATTATTTCCCCACCATCCAATCAGAGCTGAAGAAGTTTCTTGGATGAGAAGCGAAACGGCTTCAAAGGGGAAAAATCCGAGTTGCCTCTTTAAAAAAAGCGCCGTTGCCAATTCTAAGGGGAATAGCTTAGATTTAGAAAAACTTTGTCACTTTGAATGTACACTAATACATTAAAATTAAATTGCGTATAGCTCTCAAAAGATTCACCATCTGCAATATATATATTGCAAAAGATTCACTATCAGATAGATAGATAGATAGATAGATAGATAGATAGATACATACATACATACATACATACATACATACATACATACATATATATATATAATGTAGATTTTCATGGGTGTAGGTATGCTGGTCTTGTTGTATTTGGATCTTTTCCCATGTAACAATCTTGCATGGGAAAACACCCGAATACAACAAGACCAGCATATATATAACACTTGTTGGATAGCCATGCTTCATGACAAAACTATGTGATTGGGCTAAGCAGGAGAAATTCGGTTCACAATTCATTGGCTCAATGATTGAAACACATAAGGGAACATTGCTCCTGCTGCCTTGAGTCCAGAAGCCATTCCATAGATGGAAGGCATAGATATTTTGGTGAGGTACCGACGTTTAGTACTGTTAGGAGCCCCAGACTGCTCCAGAGCGAAGCAGTGGAACGTTTGCCAGTTTGAACTGATTTAACGGAATCTGAGGCAACTGGCATTTGGAACAGAGTTCTTTTCCAGTGGGGAGGGGGAGTAGAACTTAGCATCAGAACATGCTAATTATGGTATAAGAAATACTAATGATCTGATGGTCATTTTGAAAAATCCTTTCTTAGCAAGCACCTAGAAGCCAAGAGGAACATGTGCCAAGTTTCAAATTTGTAGGCTTTACCATTCTGGAGTTTTCTTGATGAGTGAGTGGTAGTTGGATTTTATATATATGTAGATTACATATATGACACATATATGTATCCATATAATATGACACAGAGAACACAGTCTAGCTCGGATGTATACATTTACATGGCAAGAAAAAAATATTGCGAGTTTACCAGACAGATGGCATAGGGAACAAAGCTGTTACAGAATTTAGTGATCCTGCTAGAAATACTTTGAAAGCTCTATCCGTGGGGAGTGCAAAGGAAGGGGGTGGGGAAAAGAAACTTGGACATCTCTATGAGGGGAACCACACTTTCTGAGAACTTGAGTTTAGCCATTTGGAGAAGGGCAAGGAGGAGAAACTACTCAACCGGTTAATGTGTTACAGAGTGAACAAGGTTTGGCTGCATCAGTTACTTACAAATAGCTACAGTTAAAGCGGGAGCCTTAGAAAGTTACCTTTGGGTAAATTTGTTCACATTGGTGAATGCACAGATAATGTAGCCAATCAAGTGTCAAAGAAGAATTCCAAAAAGGACTGACAATTCATATGTATCTGTAGAAAAGTGGAATGTGAGAAGCAAAGTGGACCTTTTTTGAATAAATGTAGTTAGCTTTGGGGTAATAGTTTTATTACTCATAAACAAAGCATTTTCCCCCTTAACTTTTGCCCTTTGGGAAAATAAACTTTTACTGAGTTCACAAACAGGATGCTTGTTGCTACTGCTGCTTGCTAAGTAGCGATTATAGATTGTACTAAGGGAATATATGCTAGGCACTAGTTAGGGTGCAAGAATGTGAAGAGCTATGAATTAGATGAGAAAATAAAGGGGTTGCGGGAATACTACTACTACTTATAATAAATAAAAATCTAATAAACCAAAACAAGTTATCCCAAGCATTAGCAGCATGAGAGAGCACACGAAGAGAAGACCAGGACTCTCCCAGAAGAGGGGCAAAAAAAGAAGAAAAAGAAATGAGCAAAGAAACAGAAAATTTGGTGACTTAAACAATTCAATGGATGCAGTGTATTTTAGGCCATAGCTTAAAATTAAAAGTAAAATTAGCTCCCCTTACTTACATACAAAATAATAATTACATTCTGTTCCATTAAAGAACATTAATACTGTTTTAGTAGAAGCTTTCACGGATTGAACTTCAATCAGGTTCAGGCACAACAACCAATCAGAGACCAGCTCTCACCAAGCTGCACCAATTGGAAACTAGGTTGACTAAAGACCAATAAACTATCAGATACCCAGCTATAAACATAGGAGCCCAATCAATCCTTATTCAGTGCTCTGCATAGTGGACAACCTTGCTTCTGAAAATGCCGGCAAAATGTCAGGAATTCTGTCTAGTCTACAGTAATTAACTTTGAAGCTTAACATTGCCCAATATTAATAATTATGTTTAAATACCATATCGAACTCTGACAGAATCTTGCAGTCCTGTCTTTCTGTTGAAAGAACAAACGTCGCCTTCCAGAAATGCATAATCACGCTTTTTTAATAATCCAGGCACAAATAATCCAGTATTCAACCCTCTTTGTAAATGGATAAATTCTAAATGTCTAGGAAATATTTTAACAATATGTTAATATATTTAAATTTTACTATTTGGGAAATGGCATTTGTAATTAGTGTACCTTAAATATTCAAAGCTCATTAATAAATGTGTGAAACCTAGAATATAAGAGAAAAAAATCATTGCCAAATAGGATAGCAGTTGATACTTGAATACTGTGAATAAGAACCAGTTCAGTTTCAATAGTGTGGATTTGACCAACCCAATGGAGTTACATCTATATCGATGTAGTGGGATACTATCTTGGGCCCAGTGCTCTTGAACATCTTCATAAATTCCTTAGATGTAGGGTCTGAATGGGTGTTTATCATATTTGCAGATGTCATTAAGCTGGGGAAAACTGCAACACTTTGGAAGATAGACTCAAAATTCAAAAGGACCTTGACAGATTTGAGCATTGGATCCTATTCAACAGTGGTAAGAAAAATAAGATCCAGCACTTAGGCAGGAAAAACCAAATACTGTATATACTGTATGTATAGAATACACAATACCTGACCAACAGGTAGTACCTGTAAGAGGAATCTAGGTATCTTGGTGGAACATTGCTTAAGTATGAGCCAGTAGTGTGCTGCAACTGCCAAAAAAAAGAAAAGCCAATGCAATCCTAAACTACATCAAAGGAAGAATAGCATAAAGAACACAAGTAATGATAGTACCATTCTACGCTGCACTAGTAAGGTCACACTTGGAATACTGTATGCAGTTCTGGTCATCATGATACAAAAATATGCTGACGCCCTAGAAAGAGTGCAGAGAAGAGCAATAAAGATGATACTTGAGAGACCGCCTCCTGCCAATCACCTCCTCGCGACCCATTAGATCACATAGATTAGGCCTCCTCCGAGTTCTATCTGCC